TGGGCCTTATGGGCCAAAGGAGGGGACAGACCAGCCCACAAGGGGGCTGGCGCGCCCCTCCCTTGGCTGGTCGGCCCTATGGGGAAGGAAAGGAGAGGGGTGGCCCCTCCTGCCTTTCCCTCCTCAGGGGAGAAAGGAAAGGGGGGCGCCAACTCCTCCTTCCTTCCTCCCTCACTCCAAATAAGGAAGGAGGGCCACTTGGGGGAGGACCCCAAGTAGGATTTGGCCTACTTGCGGCGCCTCCTGGCAGCCTCCCCTCTCCCACCCACCTATATATATGTGGGAGGGGGCGCCTAGCACAAAAAAACATTGTCTTAGCCATGTGCGGCGCCCCCCTCCACCGTTTACACCCCCGGTCATATTTTCGTAGTGCTTAGGCGAAGCCCTGCGGAGATAGCTTCACCATCATCGTCACCATGCCGTCGTGCTGCCGGAACTCGTCCACTACCTCACCGTCTTGCTGGATCAAGAAGGCGGAGGGCGTCATCGAGCTGAACGTGTGCTGAACGCGGAGGTGACGTACATTCGGTGCTCGATCAGTTGGAACACGAAGAAGTTCGATTACATCAACCACGTTGTCAAACGCTTCCGCTTACGGTCTACGAGGGTACATAGACACACTCTTCCCTCTCGTTGCTATGCATCTCCATGGATAGATCTTGCGTGTGCGTAGAAACTTTTTTGTTTTCCATGCAACGTTTCCCAACACGATCCTCCAAAAACAGTGTTTTCTTCCCGTTCCCAACAATTGCCATGGTCACAGCGCTGAATAGCGCCAATGAATCCTTTGGGATGGCGATGGTGAACTCTCTCCAAGGTCTTTTGCGATCCACCCTTTGCAACCAAGCCCAATGGGTCTACATTGCTATGCTTAGCCATTTAAGGATCGGAATGCCTAGGCCTCCTGCCCATTTTATCATGCACACGTCGTCCCAAGCGATGGAGCAGTTCCCACCATTGGCTTCGGCCTTGCCTCACCACAGAAAACCCGTTATTATCTGTTCATGGTCGTGATGGTCTTCATGGGGAGATCGAATGCAAGCATTGCGTGGAGAGGAACCGAGCAGACGACCACTCTTCGGCAAGGTGGTTGTGGCACCGCGATCTGACTCAGACGGGCCCCAGCACATGTCGGCCCAGGATAACTTCCCGACATGCGCCAGACTCATGACACAATGCTCCAAACATGACTTTATTAATATAACGGAGTTTACAACACGATTACAAGAGTATGTGGTGTAAATCTCTACGATAGAGCTATCTGGTAGCGGAAGACTACACTGGCGGCTTGGCTGGGCTTCACAGCTCATAGTACTGGCTGAGGCGACCATTTAGCTTATTCATCTTCTTCAAAATCTGGCGACATACAAGGCCAGGTAAGTACTTTGAATGAACTTGTAAGACATATGAATATACAGCAATCAAACAAACCAGTAACAAAGCAATAACAAAGTTTAAGCAACAACAACAATACTATCCAAGCAAGAATACAAATAAACTTACCGCTAGACTAGAAAGTAAATAAACTTGACTTACCGCGACCTCGTCTCGCGTGCAATCTGAACAACACAGTGCCTTTCCCAAACTTGTCCATTACTAAATTAAAGTCAGCACGATCCAAGCGGTCATAACTCAACTCATCTCAACTCATATGGCCTTATCTATTGTCGTAACCAATACCATCTTCTGTTACTCCTTTCCATACATTGGCCTCATATTAAAGTTATCGTAATCCAACATGGCCTAATAATTCATCTTAAATCACAACTTAAATACTTTTCTCAACTACCAAAACCATATTATTGCCAAACCCATGTTGTTACCCTTTCATTTGTAACCCCCAACCGCCAAAAGCCACCAAGAATCATGCACCCTTGCCATGGAGGGCCGCCCGCGGCACCCCTCGAGCCAAGCGAGAGGAGGATAGGCCCTGCAGACACCAGTATTACGCGGGCTTCACTCGGCGACGACCACTGACGACATCGAGGAGGAAGGAAAATGCTAGTGGGAGACGGGGCTAGGATTGCACCCGACAGAAGCAGCATACGCCCGAAGCATTTTTTTTGTCAACTAGATGATGCCCACGGCTGTAATTTTGTGAAAAAGGCATAAAATGTTGCTAGAAATAATTAAATATAATAAAAATATATGCTCTTGAAAATCAATAAAAAATGTGTCTAAAATAGGAAAAAAACTTTTAAATCACAGTTAAAATGCCATTTTGAACAAACTATGAAGTATGACTAACATGCATGTATAATAAGGGAGCGTTACATGCATAGACTAATGCAAAAAATCTATACACCTTATATCAAGGAACGGAGGGAGTATAATTTATAGGTTAAATCCATTGCTTGCTTATGTGGCAGACTTAAAATGCATGACTTAGTATGAGAGAAGACATAAATGCATGACTTAGTGTGAGAGAAGACATAAATGCATGACTTAGTGTGAACGTTGAGGTGAACACTTTGCATGTTGAGAGAATTGGGTTATCATATTGTACACACCTCTAGAGTCTATCCATATGATTGGTCCCTCTCAAAACACACACGTTGTCCACTGTTTAAGTCATGAGTTGGCTGGCTTCAGGATAATTTTTTAATCAAGTTTAGATATTATCATAGAATAAAAATTAATTCAAAGATTAAAAAAATAATTTGAAAGTTCAAAAGGTGATTTTAACACTTCTTTATTATGTCAAGCAATGGTTTCAGAAAGAAACAATGTGCGTGACATTGGCAAAATATGATTTCAAGAATTGATTTCAAAAGGAAAGAATGTTCAATAAGTGATTTTAGCGCTCTTGCTTGAATTGGCACAGTAGCGTTGCCAAGAAAGAATGTGTCACGGATCAAGATCACTCCACCGGAAATACCGAAGAAGAATCTGCGGCGGACCAAGACCACTCCCGGTGACACCAAAAAAAGAGGAAGAATGCACGGGACCAAGAGTATCCCACCGCCGACACCAAAAAAGAAGAAGAATGTGTGGCAGACGAAGTTCAAGCTGCCAAATGTGCCGTCGATCAAGTTCATCCCACCAGAGACACCACAAAGGAAGAATGCACTCGGAGCTCCACTTGCGATGTGGAAGAACACGCAACGGATCAATGTGGTGTGTTGCTATTCGACACACCCAAAAAGCTTTTCCGGCGGATTGTGCAGTTTACTCATATATAGAAATTATAAAGTCATTTCTAATATCTAGAGTACTGGCTATGGTCACAGGTCAAGTATCCAACACAGTACGCCCAGCACAGAAACATCTAGTAGCCTGGCATCCCTTTTCTGGCAGCGAGTTCATGAGACAGTAGGATCTGCACAAAGAATAACATCAACATGAGTGCCAAATAACGACGCCTCTATCGAGGTCAATGTTTTGTATCTATATAAACTGAGGGAGCAAAATGCAAGCAGTATTTAATCCACGTTCTTTGCAACATGTCACACAACACAAAATTCATGCCCAGAATCCTATGGGTTGGCAAACCTACAAGCACAAACATGGATCTCTTAGCCCAAAATAATCCTAAAATTTACAAGTCTACACACAACCTAACATGGATGCTTTGGTAACGAAAGCATGGATGAACTCTGTTCTCAACAATTATTTTTGCTGGGCACCAGCCATTTACCAGAACCTCTTTTATTTCTTATACTGAAATACATGCAGCCCTCTTGCATGGTTTGAAAAAAGTTTTAATGGTCAAATTAAGGACTTCAAGGGGCTGTATTAGAGAGCTCATTATGGGTAAGTTTAATGTGAGAAGACGCGTCATGAACCTAAAAGATAGCACATGTTCATGCAGAGTGTGTCAAGTTTCTGGGAAGCCATGCCTTCATGCATTGGCCTTCATCTGCTCAATCAGGGGAGCTGAGATCCAAGCACATGTGGATAATTTTTACAGCATTGAGAAGTTTAGGGCAGCATATGCTGGGTCAGCACCATCCATGACAGATTCACAAATAAGACACAATTGAGTGTAAAATCCACTTGGGTTGCAAAGTACACTCACCTTCTCCAAGGACTCTAGACAGACCTAAGAAGCAGAGAATTAGGAGATTTTTCTTGAACCTGGTAGAAAGGTGGTCAGGTGCAAAATATGTAAAGGAGTGGGCCATACAAAGAAAACATGCGATGAGCCAGAATCCGAGCAGGAACTCTTATGATCTTATCTGATGTTGGTGAAGACCGAACTTCAAACTAATGTTTTCCCTCGTGTTAATTTGTTTTACATATCATTGCTTCTTACTTGGTACTATGTTTTATCTTATAGATCGTTGCACAAGAACTTGTCAACTGTATTTTGTGCAGAGAACTTGTATTTTGTGAACTTGTGTGAAGAATTATGGAGCTTCTATTGTCAACTTCAACTTGCATGTTTGAACATTGAAATCTTTGGTGAACCAGATGCTCAACACAACATGGAACTTTTATTGCCAATCTGATGCTTTATATTGTGTGAACTCATAGATTTCTAGTTGTTCCAACCTGAAGTCATGCTCAATTTTTTGGTAAAATGTGTAGATGCCATGCTCAAGTTTTTGGTAAAAACTGATCCTTTCTGGACATGTCAACATCATGGTCATCATGCTCAATATTTTGGTAACAGACTTAGCTACCTGAAATAGAAAAACACCGCATTGCAGCAAATTGTGGCAAGCTGCAGCACATACATTGCAGACATGGAACAGGACTGGGCGGAGCAACCTGCAGTTCACGGTGACTAGAACAGGCGAACGGGGAGGCACAACTGCCACTCCTCCCCGTGACGACTCGAACATTGGTAGGCAGCGAAGGCAGTTGGAGCCCGTGGGCTGTCATGAGCATGAGTCCAAGTCAGCAGGCAGGGGAGAAACTGCGCAGTTCGTCGCTGCGGACCGTAGGATGCAGGGAGCCGGCGGGGAGCTAACTGAAGAAAGAGCACAGGTAGTGGCGGCAAGTCGCCGGGGTAGAAGCAGTCAGGCAGAGGCGGTTGGAGGCTGGGTGCAGACTGTGCAGGGGAGAAGCGGATTGGGGTTTTCTGCTAGGGGTTTGAGATAGCTAGATGTGTGGTAAGAGGCTGGGGCAAATTTGATCTCTACAGGTAAGTGTCCTATCTGCAGGCATACGAAGCGAAATACAAGAGGCTATTGACCGGTACTAGTGTGGAATCGGGCATAACGACATATTTCAAAGTATAGGGAAGTTGCGGTGGCATTTTTGATAAGTCGTTTTTCTGCAGTGGCATTTTTTTATCTCTAGAAATTCAGAGAGGAATAAATCAAATTAACCCTCAAGATAATTTTTAGATGGGACTAGGTTAAAATAGGAGATGTGTACCTCTTGCAATAACTTCTCCAAGATCGGATACACTTACAGTCAACTCTCCAATCCTTCGCTGTTTTTTAAGCGTGTGAAACACCCCAACCTATACAGTCAGCATAACACATTTGTTAGCGCTAGCATTTTAGTAATAAGATTAGGATCAATCAAGAACTGAACTTACAGAAACATGAACTTCAATAAGGTCATTATAATTGTCTGAAAGGCCCTTGCATGTGTTCATCAACCTATTCTCCAACTGATAATTGCAGAAAAAACACAGAATCAAGAGCATGAAGTTACCCAATGTCACGCAGATGTAACTTATTGTCACTTCATTTGAAACCTACAAATATCTAATGCACTCACCTCAACAGTATTAGAAATGGATTCTCCATTGAAACACTCAACAATATCACCTCTTTCGATTCCAAATTTATCAGCAGGAGATCCTTTCAAGACCTAAGGTTCAATTGGCAATAATTAACCACTATACACATGAGAAATTAAGTACATTCAGGAAGGCACTGTATATACCTCTTGAACAACAAGACCATCATCAATGTGGCACATGCGCCATATCTTGTCAACATGAGCAGGCTCTAGAAGCTTGATGGCCTCAAACGTCATTCCAAGTTGGGGCCGGGGGATGCGCCTATACCAAATCAAATAATCATTAACATATTTATAACATGGTATACACAAGCAAGTTATACTTTCTAAATGAGCCATCTTCAGCAGAATCCAACTTCTTTCTAGCATGTTGCAAAAAAAAAAACAATAGTAAGCAATATGCCAATTTGAATAGAGTTCAAAGGGAATGATACATTAGTGAGAGTTGAAAAAGACTCAAAAAGGATCTTCCATGATGTTATGTTAAAATAAATTGACATATTTCAATACAAACCGGACGACTATCACAATTGATCTCTATTAAATTCAGTCTGCACTTGAGCTGTAAACGATAGTAAAGACATGTAGAGTATAATGGTAAGGTAATCATCTTCTTTCCAACAAGTGGTTGGCATCATGAATTGTTTGTAAGTCTCAACATGCCCAGCTACACCATCATTGATAAATTATTACTTGTAGCTATTTGTTCAAACATAAAAATATATACATGAATTAACCATTGCAGCTATTTACGCAAACATAGTTTACAGTTATTAAATTGCATGAGAGAAAAAATAGAGAGAAGCGCACCCATATTTCTTCCACAAATCCACACAACTGAGCAAAATAGAAGAAGGTATGAAAGACCCCCTCGAGCTAATGTTGAACATTCCAACAATTTTTCCATCCAAGCTAATGACTAGCCCTCCGCTGTCATACTACAACATACAAAAATAGTCATAACATATTGCAATATATAACATTAAACAATTATGCAATCTTGTGACAATAAATATTACCTCGTCATCGTCGTTATCATCATCTGCACAATCAAAGTACATGTAATGATACCGCTCATCAATATCTGGATTCTGATATGCAGCTCTACCATAAGTTATCCGTAGATCTAACATATTGTCTCGTCCTAGCCGAAGAACTTCTTCAGCAAATGTCACTTCTTCACTGAAAGACGGCAACTGGATAGGCTGGTCCACTTTAACCCGCACAAAAGCAAGATCATAGTGTGGCTGGTAGTACAGCAGCTGTCCCTTTTCACTAGTGCCATCTAGTAAATGAACAGTGACCTAAAAACATTGGAGAAAGAATCAGATTACATTCTGAGTAATGCCTACAAAGAAAATCTAGATGTACATAAATGTTTTTAATCAAACATATTTGTTGCTTCTTTGTGTTACTAGAGAAGTCCAATAGCAAAAGAAATGCAATTTCAAACTAACTATCTTACACCAAGTAATAATTAATGTGATTTGGAATCAACTAAAATGAAAAAACACGCATAGAAGTTAAAAGACAAAACATTGGCTCACATCAGCATTGGAAGTATACTCTTCTCCGCCAAACCAGACATTGACAGGAGAATCCTTTGTGCGAATCAGATGTGCAGTTGTCAAAACAACGCAGGTTTTGCTCTCCTCGTCCCAATCAATCAATAAACCAGAGCACCGCTTTAGAGGCTTGCTACCTATATCTATCCAGATGAATGCAAAATATACATCAAGTTGCAGGACAATCTATCTATCTATTATATTACTGAAGTAATAGAAAATGAATGGCCATGGTTAACTAGACATACACATCAGGAAAAAAAACAACCGGGATTAATAGTATATACATCAATTTGTGGGACGATCAATCAATCTATCAGTTATATTATTATTAAAGTAGTAGAAAAGCAATGGCTAGTGTTAACTAATTAGACATACATGACAAAATAAATTAAACAGGGTTAATAGCGTCATATATATAGTATAAGAAAAGAAAGAGACGTTCAAGCAATATATTTAGACCGATACGGATTCAACATGTACACATCTAGGCAACTACAAGTAGCCAATTACAGAAGGAGATGAACTTGCACAGGTAAATAAAATAAGTAGAGTTCTAAAGCAAATACAATAATAGTATATAAGATAGGGATAAGAATAGTAAGAAAGAGAAATTTGCTCGCAACAGGGTATATACATACATATTTTGTACTCCCTCCATTTTTATTTACTCCACATATTAGCTTTTACCTAAGTCAAATTTTATAAAGTTTGACCAAGTTTATAAAAAACAATCTAAACTTTCAAAATAACAAATACATGTGTACGCATATAAAGCCACCTGTCAGAGATTTACAAAAAAAATGCCCACAAAAAAAAGAGGTAGTCACATAAATTCCACACAGGCAATCAATGCAATAGAAGCTAGCTCAGTTGGCTGGTTGAATGGATGAACAAGCCCACCACCATAGTTTAACTCCTCATGCATGCAAATTTAGGTTCTATTTATAGAGTAGGATCTCTCTTATAGTTTTCTTTCAAAAAAGTATTTCTTATAAGGTGAAACAAATTGGAATAAGAGGCATAAGAAAATCAGAAAATTTGATTTTTCATACATACTCCACACAAAATTTATTACAATACTAACTTTCGGAATCAACTTATAGAAGACGATCGGATTTATATATGAAATGCAACAAAAAAAAGATGTAGAATAAAACTATATTTAATTAAATTAGTAAACCACTTCATGTTTGATAAGAAGTTAAAAACAGGAGGAAATAGAAAGTAGAATAGTCAAATGATGTTTTAGCATCTTTCAACGAAAGATAACTATACTTAGATGAGCGCATGGAAGGAACTAGACTCATGATATGGCACTAACGAAAAATACAGTTGCAGTACAACCATAATGTGGCCGGTCATGGAAGACAAATAGAGAACATAAGGTTTATGCCTGACCCATCGATGTTCACATTTTAGTACCAGTTGGCAAATCGTCTCTGAAAAAGGATATTGGTCAGAAGATGGAATGCGGAAGGACTTGCCGAAACTTTAATACGTCCTAATAATCTTTTCTTAAGACCTAGCGTTTATTTTATTTTCTATTCAATTGACATATCAATGCTAATGTAGCGGTACATTAAATGGACAACAGTTGCACACAGGGTAAGCAGAAAAACTAATAGTCACCCCATTTATAAATGCATATTGTTTTGGACATTTGCATGGCCTCCAACAGATGTTTGATTTTCACATGTATATACAACAACGACGACGACTTTCAGTCCCAAACAAGTTGGATTTTCATATGTATATGTTGGTAGAAATATTTATAAAAAAGAACAATACGCCTACCTTTATATTTTTATTTTATTTTGGTTTGGCAATCTCTTTTGCCTGTCTCTGCTAATCAGAATCGTCAACATGTTCCCCAACAGTATCAAAATACATCACACGATTTCTTTGAAGATACATGTTTACAATCAGAGGTAGTACTAATATAACGCTATATAGTAAATCTATCCACGCATTTGGTCAGCCAGCTAGTCAATCTTAAACCCAGAGGGCAGCATATACATACCAAGAGATGATGAAATCCCAACAAGAGATTTAGCAGCGGAGAGCGCCGCCTTGCTTCCAGATTCACGCAAGGGGAGAAGCGCCCGTGTGTGAAACCTGGGCGGGGGTTTAAAGTGCTCAAGCGTAGGAATCTTCACCGGGGGAATGGGAGCTGCTACAAGAACATGATGTGCATCGATCACACACAATTGGTGATTAATTGATTGATTCGGAGGATGGGGAGAGGAACCAATCAGACCTAATTTTGCGGCATCCATTTTATCCTTTGCAATCTTGGCGGTGAGCCACCTGGGATCGATGAAGCAGCCACGGCTCCCTCTGGGCATGGGAAGTAGAGCAGGCGAGTCCTTTTTCTCTTCTTCTTCCTGCCCTTCCTCCCTCCCCAGATTCCTCTTCTTCGCCAGGACTTCCTCCGGAACGGCCGCCATGGCCCTTTTGTTCTTGGATTTCTCCAAGTCCGAGCTCATCTTCTTTCTCGAACTGGGATCCCGACGAATCACCCTCTTCTCTTGCGTAGGGGTGGCAGTGGACGGAACCTCTTGCGATCACGCCGCCGCCGCCGCCGCCCGGCCGCCCCTTCAATCTCAACTTCAAAGAAGCCGGGTTTCCAGTAAAAAAAAAGGCGTCTAGCTGACAGGTGGGACCGCCTGGCCGCCCCCCACGCCGCTTCGATTATCTGTTCCGTAGGCCCATCGGTAAAGATCTTTTCTTTATTATTAAATTGCACGAGTTCTTTTGAGCAGACTAGGGCCAGTTGGGCTCAATTGTGAAGAATTACTGTTCGGCGAATTAAAATCACAAAAGAACTTATCTCTGTTTCATGACTTGTCCAAAATTATCGCAAAATTACAGTGTAGTTTAGAATCATCGAAACTTCGCAATTCTCATAATTCTAGCCAGTCCCTCAAAATAAAACGGTTCACTTTGAACCAATACCCCTATTGGCAACTGTATTTACGACCAGAGTGCCACCAGGGAGGCCCGACCGAGCGAGGCAAAGAACAGGGGATTTCTCACGAAGCGCTTCGTCCACCCCACACAACCATCGTCTCAGCCACCCCGAGCTAGGGTTTGGCGCACCGCCGGCCAGCTGCCGGCCCCGACGTTGTCAGATCCACCGGCGAGAGGCCCCTATGACGCCGCCCCTTCTCCTCCACTCCTCCCGGCCCGGCCGTCCCTGCAGTAGGACGCGTCCGCCCGCCTGACCAGCCGACCCTCCTTCCCTCCGGCCGGCAAAGCAAGGGAATATTGGATGGTTTCGATGGTGCAAACATGTGATTGATGTCATACACTGAATTTTTTTGGTATGCAACATTTAGCAAAAAAATTGTATGAAAATCTGTAAGGAATGTACTTATATATGATTGATTGCTTACTATTAACTTTGTATTGGTATGGATTGATGTATGCTTAGTAAAAAAAATATAGATTAAAAATTGACATGTGACTGTTGTAGATGGAAAAGGTAAAGCATCCAAAAGCAATTGGGATGTTGTGGCTCATTCCATTTATATGGATGTGTGTGTAGAGGAGGTGTGAGGCAATAACCGTGCCCCAGGAAACACCACTTTGTCCGATGTATGACAAGTTAATTTGCTTACTAAGTTTAATGAGCGCTCAGGAAGAAACTATTCGCACCAACAATTAAGAAACTCGTGGGATGCATGTAGAAGTGATTATGCTATATGGAAGACATTGCTTCAAAAAGCTTTGTGCGTCGGAAGAGATCCTTATACAAAGACCATTGCCGCTATGGATGAGTGGTGGGCATTGGAGTTGAAGGTGCCTTTTTGTTTTATCATTTTACCGAGTTATGTTGCTTCTTTCATTTCATTTCATTTATCATGGATACATGCTATTTCATTGCAGGCATGTCCGCAGGCTAGCAAGTTTCGGCATGCTCCACTTGCGGAGGAGGACAAAATGGAAAAGGTGTTTGATGCTTGTTGTGTCACAAATGAGCACGCGAGAGTGCCAATTCCCACATATCAAGGTTCTACATCTCGAATCAATTTGGATGATAAGTATGGTTATGAAGGTGATAAAAAACAAAGTTACACCTCGTGTGAATCGTGCAGAGGGTGGGAAGAAGAGGGCATGTCCTTATTCGCCAAGCCCTAAGATGAATGAAAAGCGGGCAAATGAGCATGCAAAAAATGAGGCATTTGTCTGTATGGTGGCCTCTTTGATTCAAGGAACAAGAGAGATGAGACCCAAGTTTCAGCAAGACAAGAGATTCACGAAATGATGGCCATGGTCGAATCAGATGGTGGTGCACCTGGGAGTGATGTCCATTTTTATGCTTCACAACTTTTCAGGGATCAGACAAATCGTGATGTTTTCTCTGCCTTCAAGGGTCACGAGCCTAGTGCGAGGCTGATATGGATAAACAAAACATGGGAGTTCAACAATAAGTATAACCTCTATGTTTCGATTGCTTTCAACTTGTATCATAGTGAACTATGTTTCGATTGCTTTCAACTTGTATCGTATTCTCCTATATTATTCGCTTTGAACCCATGTATTTCCTTTGAACTTGTATTGTATTTAACTATGTTATTTGGTTTGAACCAAAGTATGCACTTTTGACTTGTATCCTTGGAACTTGCTAGTAATGTATCTTGTTGTTAACCTCCTATGTGTGTATGTGGTTGTGGTAGATGGATAGAAAAACAAGAAGATGAGGAATTTGTGGCAGGAATGCTTGCATTTGCTTTGGAAATGGCGTCGTCAAGCAAATCGTTGTCGTATGTGTCAAGAAGATTACCCCTTGCTATAGGCCTCCAATGGGTGGAAGAGAAGGGAAAGGATCCAAAAGCTTTCTACACTATGTTCAGAATGCGGAGGTCAATGTTTTACCCATTGCATGATCCGTTGGTTCAGAAATATGGGCTTAAGTCAACTTACAACATATCATTCAAATAAGCATTGGCGCTTTTTGTATTGACTTTGGGGACAACGCAGACCACTGACAATGTGGCAGATTGATTTGCGCATAGTCGTTCTGTCACTAACAAAAAATTCCATGAGGTTTTGGAGTGTGTAGACCGCTTGGCCGGTGACTACATTAGACCAATGGATCCATCTTTCTCTGAGCCTCATCCCATACTTAGAAAAACAAGGTTCTGGCCTCATTTCAAAAATGTTATTGGAGCCATAGAGGAACACACATTAAAGTGGTTGTGCCCAAGGAATTGGAGCCCCAACACATGAATAGGAAAGGCTACCCAACCGAAAATGTCATGGCAGTGTGTGATTTCGATATGAGGTTCACTTTTGTTGTTCCTGGATGGCCCGGATCTGTTCATGACACACGTGTATGGAGTGATACTATAGTTCGTTATGAACATTATCCACAACCACCCACAAGTAATCTCTTGTATGTATGTTATGTACGGTATGCATGCATATTCTTATATACATGATGTCTTATTGTAGATAAATACTACCTTCTCGACTTCGGATATCCCAACAGAATTGGATATCTAGCACCATACAAAGGGCAATGGTATCATGTACTTGATTTCCAATAACACCCTCCCATGGGGAGGTATGAGACATTCAACCATCGACATTCTTCTTTGTGTAATGTTTTTGAAAGATCGTTTCGTGTTCTCAAGATGAAACGGCGTATTCTCAAAGGCATACCACGGTACAAACCGGAGACCCAAAAGATGATCATCACTGCATGCAATGTGTCTTCACAACTACATTTTTGATAGCAAGTTACGTCACGAGCATTTTTAGAAGTTTGTCAATGATGCATGTGTGCAACCTCCACAATCGTTTACAGGTGCCAACGCTTTACCAACTGACGATGATGCTACCATGGCCGCTTCACGTGAGGCTATTGCTGCCAGTCTTGTACCTTGAGATCATCCATCTATTTGTAGTTTGCAACTCACTTTTAACTTGTAATATTAAGCACTGTATGATATTTCCAACTCCGGTTCTAAATTGTAATGTTAAGCACTTTATGATATTTGCAACCCGCTTTTATATTGTAATATTATATAGTCTATGAGATTCGCATGTCGTTTTCGTGTTCATATTAGACATGAAACTGTCAGAAATAACCAAGTGTTACCAATTCATCACTCCACTCTAGGGGCGTTACAGACATTTAAAGAGACAACTCGTAGAACAATCACAGGCTAGAATTACAGAAAAGAACTGGACAAACGATTCTGTGGGCAGCATCCCAGAATCATATTATGGAGAATTATGAGGCGAAAAGAACTGACCCTAGGCTTGGTCTGGAAATGGAGAGTTCAAACAAAAGGTTTGGCCTGGAAAACCTTTAGCTCGGTTGCCTCTCTAAAATCTTCAGATGATTCTGCAGAATCCTAGTGCAACTCTCTAAAATCTTCACATGATTCTGCAGAATCCTAGTGCAATTCAAAATCTCCAAAGTAGTTGGACTTTTCCAGAATCTCATAATTTTGGCAAGTCCCTCGGGGCATGTACCATGGAGGCAACACCAAGGTGTTCCTCTAGTACATCCATGTAGCCTATGAGAACTAGGACAATCACCCATACCAATTACCGTCCAACCGCACGTGTTGTTCCATGCTACTTGTGAGCTGCATTGGGATTTCCCCGAAGAGGAGAGGATGATGCAATACAGTAGAGATAAGTATTTCCCTCGATTATGAAACCAAGGTTATCAATCCAGTAGGAGAACCAAGCAACACTATGTAAACAATACCTGCACACAAACAACAAATACTTGCAACCCAACACATAGAGGTGTTGTCAATCCCTCAACAGTTACGAGCAAGATTAAAAGATATAGTTTTTGATTGATAGATCTGACAAAAATACAAAATAAAATAAATAAAAGAAAATTGCAGCAAGGTATTTTTGGTTTAAATATATGATAGAAAATAGACCCGGGGGCCATAGTTTTCACTAGAGGCTTCTCTCGATAAAATAGCATACTGTAGGTAAACAAATTACTGTTGGGCAACTGACAGAACAGCAAATAATTATGACGATATCTAAGGCAATGATCATGTATATAGGCATCACATCCAATATTAGTAGATCGGCTCCTGCCTGCATCTACTACTATTACTCCACACATCGACCGCTATCCAACATGCATCTAGTGTATTAAGTTCATGAAAGAACGGAGTAATGCCTTAAGCAAGATGACATGATGTAGACAAGATAAACTCACGGATGAAATAAATCCCATCTTGGTACCCTTAATAGAAATGATACATGCATGTCATATCTCTTTCTTTCACTGAGTTTGAGCACCGCAAGATCGAACCCGATAACAAAGCACCTCTTCCCATGGCAAGATAAATCAATATAGTTGGCCAAACCAAACTAATAAATCAGAGAAGAAATACGAGGCTATAATAATCATGCATAAAAGAGTTCAGAGAAAACTCAAATAATATTCATGGATAGATCTGATCATAAGCTCACAATTCATCAGATCCCAACAAACACACCG